AGAGCGTGAATGTAACGCCACCGACCTGTACGCCAGCAACAGCGTGAATGTGTGTAACACCACTGACCTGTATGCCTGCAACAGTGTGAATGTAACACCACCGACCTGTATGCCTGCAACAGTGTGAATGTAATGCCACCGACCTGCACGCCTGCAAGAGCGTGAATGTGTGTAACGCCACTGACCTGTATGCCTGCAACAGCGTGAATGTAACGCCACCGACCTGCACGCCTGCAACAGCATGAATGTACCACCACTGACCTGTATGCCTGCAATAGCGTGAATGTGTGTAACGCCACCGACCTGCATGCCTGCAAGGGCATGAATGTGTAACGCCACCGATCTGCATGCCTGCAACAGCGTGAATGTGTGTAACGCCACCAACCTGCACGCCTGCAACAGTGTGAATGTGTAACGCCACCGACCAGTACGCCTGGAAATGGTTAAGGTGGTGCGTTTCCTCTGTTTTATCACAATAAAAAACCTGAAAAAACACACACACACACACACAGCACCTGCTGTGATAAGCAAAAGGTGGCTCCAGGGGAGCCACGTCCAGCCAGAAAGCCCACCCCCTTACCTGAAACTTCTTAGCCCCTGTGAGGCGGGAGAGCTCCCGGAACTCCAGCTGAATGCTGGTCACCTCGGCCACCGTGCTGTCGGAGGTCCACCGTGGCGGGTGCGCGACTCCAGTGCCGATGTTCACATCTGAGTAAGGAATCTTGGATGGTGTTCTGAAGGCAGGCATTAGCCGATTTCCAAAATCCTCCTGGTATACGAGCAGAGCAGAGAACCAACGTTTCAGGTCACCCAGAGGCTTCGTCTACACGTCATGACTCTCGCCCCCTTGGCCCTAGTGGAGATGCTGAAGCTCTCTGGGGCCAACACAGCAGCAAAGGAAACGGGCATCACTGCACTGAGTGAATGTCTCTACAAGATCAGTGGTGATCAAAGTGGCTGCATCAGCTCACAAATATGGGCTCAGAAACAGACTCCAGTGCGTCTGAAGAGGAAATAGGAAAACGGTCACATCCCCACAAGTCCGCTAAAGGGGGAACTCCTTGCATGCGAGTCCACTGTCTCCTTGCAGGACACCCCGAGACACTTACAGCTTTCCTCAGGAAGAGGCTGTCCCCAGACAGGTGGTAGGCACTCAGCAGCCCCCCCAGGATGCGGATCGTGCTCTCAAACAGGTTGACGTCCACGTCCTTTTCAAAGTGTAACTTCTTCGACACCCACTTCCTGGCTTCCTCAAATTCTGTAACATGAAACAGTAAAGGATGCAGAGACAAATGGATGGGTCCAACGGTTTCCTATGATCTATCCATCTTCAATCTTCAAAATGCGTTTGGCTGGGCATGGTGGCTCACGCCTGTAATCCCAGCACTTTGGGAGGCTCAGGCAAGTGGACAGTTTGAGCCCAGGAGTTCGAGACCAGCCTGGGCAACATGGCAAAACCCCATCTCTACTAAAAATACAAAAATTAGCTGAGTGTGGTGGTGTGTGCCTGTGGTTCCAACTACTGGGGAGGGTGAGGCATGAGAATCGCTTGAACCTGGGAGGCAAAGACTGCAGTGAACTGAGATCGTGCCACTGCACTCCAGCCTGGGCCACGTCGCAAGACTCTGTCTCCAAAAAACTCACGTTTAAAACCAGGAGGCGAACGTTGCAATGAGCCGAGAATGCGTCATTGCACTCCAGCCCAGGTAACAGTGTGAAACTCCATCTCAAAAACAAAAGCAAAAACAAAAAAATAAAAAACAAGCCCACGTTCTGGGGCATTATCGCTCCCCTGCTGCAGGGCTTCAACATCACCTCCCGTCTCAAGCGGGTAAATCTTGAAGTCTCCAATATATGTGAATAAAACAGAGTCAGCAGTGCAGTCACTGTGACCACAAATGGGTCACAATCAAAGGCCATGATACAAAAAAATCACACAAGTAATTTACTGGTGGTCTTCAACCTATTCAAAAAATTAGGTAAATGTTTAAAATATCGCTTAAATAACTGAAGACACATACGCCCAATTCAAAATGGATGTGCTGGTCTACGAAGGACGCTGCTGAGATCTGGACCCAGCGGGGCCCACAGTCACTCATCCCCACCACCCCCAGCTCCAAGAGCAGCACAGCCTGGAAATGCCCCTTGTACGTCCCCCAAAGAGGCCACGCTCAACTCCTGCAGAGGTCCGGGGACAGCTGCCCTGTGTGTGCCCTGGGTGGCTGGAGAAGAACAGGAACTGACCGTAGTCAGCACGTCCACTGCTGCACCCAGGGGAAGGGAAAACCCATGGTCAGATGCAAACCACAGCGTTCACTCCACGTGCAACCCCCACTCTGCCTCAGCACACGAGGCCCACACGGAGGGCTCAGCCCCTCCCCAGAAAGCACCAGGTACCTTTCCTCAGACCCAAGATCCACATGGTGTCCAGTGCATCGATCAGCGTGAGACCAAGGCCAAACCACTCGCTGAAGGACCTGGACACAGGCTTCAGCTCATCGTGGCCCCACGCGAACTTGCGGTATCCTTTCCACGCGTGCAGGAAGACGTCAATCACGCCCTTCTGGCGATAGTTTGGATGCGCTAGTAGGAGAGAGAGAGAGCACAGGCCATGGCGGGCGTGGTCCCGGCGTCGGCACAGGTGGACACCCTCAGGCAGAGCGCTGCTGTGACCCCCATCAGGCAAAGATGATGGTGAGTTTGGGATGACGGGAAGAGCAGTGGTGGGCACAGCAAAGGGCGGGGCCACAGAGGCTGCAGCAGTCCCCAGGGAGAACACAGTCTGCCAAGGGCCTGAGGCCTCCAGAGGCTGCACAGGATGGCACCTGGCACCCGACCACCAGCCTGGGGCTTGCGCACCTCCGCCTGGCGCCTGGGCAGGCACGCCCTCCTTGGGCCTCAGTGGCCTCTGGCCAAAGGGACAAGACTGGTTGCCCTAAGGGCGCCGGGACAGCAGAGTGGAGCCTGTGGAGCAGCGGGTGAGTGTGGTGCCAACTCAGAATGTGAAACGCTGATGGGTGCAGACCTTGACACGAACACCCTCGACTCATACACACTCATTCTGCCATATGGGCTTCAGGTGCTCCACAGGACTCACACTGCAGACGCATTAGAGTTGCCTTGGTCACTCTTTTTTTAATGGTATTTTTTTGGTCGGGCATGGTGGCTCATGCCCGTAATCCCGGTACTCTGGGAGGCCGAGGTGGGCGGATCACCTGAGGTCAGGAGTTTGAGACCAGTCTGGCCGATATGGCGAAACCCCGTCTCTACTAAAAATACAAAAATTAGCTGGGCGTGGTGGCGCGTGCCTGTAATCCCAGCTACTCGGGAGGCTGAGGCACAAGAATCACTTGAATCTGGGAGGTGGAGGTTGCAGTGAGGTGACAGAGCAAGATTCTGTCTCAAATATATATATATATACTTTTTTTTTGGTAGAGATGGGGCCTCACTATGTTGTCCAGGTTGGTCTTGAACTCCTGGACTCAAGCGATCCTCCTACCTCAGCCTCCCAAAGTGCTGGGATTACAAGCGTGAGCCACCACGCCCAGCCAACATTGACTAATGTGTGGATTGACACGTGTGCAACGGCATCATACCACACGTCCTCTCAGGAAAGGTTCTGAGGCCTCCTCGCGCTCATGGCTTGGCTCTGCCTCTGCACTCACTAATGCCGCAGAGATTGCTACACACCCCTCACAGGCCTGGGCCTAGGAGTCCCGGCTCTGGGCTCCCTCCCCACCTCGGAGACACCTGGGGGCATGATGAGAGCAGGGTTTCAGACTCAGCGATCTGCCCTGAGTCCCACAGACAAGCAAACGACTCTGGCGGTGGCAGCCTCAGCCCTGGTTTTCCGTTTGGAGAACGGGAGGGTGACCGGTTTACCGTGTCAGAGGGAGTCATGTGCGGGCAGCAAGCCACCCAGGTGCCAAGGCAAGAGACCGAGGGCACGAGCTGTTCTGGTCTAACAAAATATATAAAGTAAGAACAGTTCTACTAGATATAGATCATAGATACGATTATATATGAATATCATTAATCATTAGTTTCTAGCAATTACTCTTTACTCCAATATTAGAATAATCCTCGCTCTACAACTATAACCTAGGAAAAGCCAGGTCATACAGACATAGCAGCCGAGGGGACATAGTGAGAAGTGACCAGAAGACAGGAGTGTGAGCCTTCTTTATGCCCGGGCAGGGCCACCAGAGGGCTCCTTGGTCTAGCGGTAATGCCAGCATCTGGGAAGACGCCCGCTACCAAGTGGACCGTGGTCTAGCGGCAGCGTCAGTGCCAAGGAAAAGTACCCACTACTTAGCGGACTGGGAAGGGGAGTCCCCGTTTCCTGGGGAAGTTCAGAGAAGACTCTACTCCTCCACCTCTTGTGGAGGGCTTGACAGTCAGGCCCACTTGCAGTTATCCGGAGGCCTAACTGTCTCCCTGAGATGCTGTGCTTCAGTGGTCACGCTCCTGGTCTGCCTTCGTGTTCCATCCTGTACACCTGGCTCTGCCTTCTAGATAGCAGCAGCAAATTAGTGAAAGTACTAAAAACCTCTGATACGAAGAAATAATGGCGTAGGCTGTGTCCTCTCTGTCTCTCCGCCTCGGCTGCCAAACAGGGAAGGGTCCCCTGTCCAGTGGACACATGACTCTCGTGACCTTGTCAATCATTGGAGATGACCCACACGCCTTGCCCTGCCCTTTTTGCTTTGTATCCAATAAATATCAGCGCAGCCTGGCATTCGGGGCCACCACCGGTCTCTGCGTCTTGGTGGTAGTAGTCCCCCGGGCCCAGCTGTCTTTTCTTTTATCTCTGTCTTGTGTCTGTATTCCTACAATCCCTCGTCTCCGCACACGGGGAGAAAAAGCCACCAACCCTGTGGGGCTGGACCCGACAGTCATGAGGCTGAGAGAGGCCGGCGTGCACTGAGCTTGGCTGAAGGCCCGCACCTGGGAGGCCCCCAACAAATGGTGCTCAGAATGAAGCGGCCTGCAGAGCGGCCTGGGACTGGCCAGGCCGAGACCGGGGATGCAGCACGGGCAGCAGTCTCCAGGGATCCCGTGGGGCAGCCTGGCCCAGACACAAATCTCCCACACACACCTTCTTCTGCAGCCACATGCTCAGGGACAGCAGGCCAAGAGCCACATGATGTCACCAAGGTTGCAGAGCCAGTGAGGACTCAGACAACAGGGGGATGCCGAAGGGCAAGGTGCACACCAGGGCTGGGGGGCCACCCACCACGGCTGAGACGAAGCCTGCACCCATCAGCCACCAGCCCCCGAGCGCCCGGGGAGGAAGGGGTGCAGGCGTGGCCTCACCTGGGGTGCCCTGTGTCCTGGCCGGTGGCAGGGGAGGCTTGGTGGGCACTTCTGCTTTTCTTGAAGGGAGCTCGGTGCCCCGCTCAGGCTCGATCACCGCTCCCCTCCAGCTTCGGGGGAGAAGGAAGGGTGTCAGCTGCCGTCAAACACGTGTGGCTCCGTGTTTCCCATCCCCACGCTCCATACCCACAGCCAAGGCAGGGCCCTGCACCCGTCACGGCCCCATCTTCCTGCGGTGCAGGCTGCTGAGTGGCAGGAAACACACAGTTCAGTCCTGAGCTCCCGTGCCTGAGAGTCAAGACCACAGCACCGCCCCAACGTCAAGGCTGGCCTGAGGTCAGAGACCAGAGCTTGGAGAATGAGAAATACCTCTGCAGAGGCCGGAGGCAGGAGGCCTCTACGGTGGAGGTCCAGAGAATCTGTCATCCAGACAGGGGCACTAATGACTGTGAGGTGGCCCCAGGATGCCAGGATGGCCACACAGACGGGGGCTGTCCCTACACACGAGAGGCATGGCCACTCAAACTCCCCATCCAGAGTTCCGTCCAATGGCCATCAGGAACAGCTACGACCTCCTAGCTGTGGCTGGGCCTGAGCGTTCTCTTGGGGCCCTGTGGTGAATCTGTCCCAGGCTCAGCGAAAGGCCTCTTACATCCACAGAAGGCTTACATGCTGGGAGTACGAATGTGGCACTTTTGATAGGCTGAGGTCAAACGCTCTTTTGCTCTGGAAGTAAAGCCTCCTTGCATTCATGCCAACGCTAACTAGAGTGCAGCGGCCTCAAATTCTCCTCTTGGCAGTGAGGACCACTCACATGCATACATCCACGCCTCTCACCATGCACCTGAGTTCAGGGCCTCTGGGCCCGTTTCTTCAGAGCCCATCTCTCATGGCTGACAGCGCTTGTCTCAGGCCACTCCTGCACAGCAGCCCTCACTGGCCCTGGCTCTGTCCACAAAGCAGAGCTCAGGTCTGGCCCACACTTTGTGGGGGAGAGAGGATGCCTGCGGGGAGCCCTGCCTTCCGCCTCAATTATATCAACTCTGTTTCTAAGAGCATAATATGGAGCCGGAAACGAGGCTGAGATGCCCCAGCACCGAATGAAGCTTCACCGGGATCCACAACCTGGACCTGACCAACCAGGCAGAGGACAGCACCCTGGGAGCCTGGGCACTAGGCAACTCCCTCTCCCTCTGCTCTCTGCTCGACCAGATGGGGCTCAGGAAAGGAGGTGGCCCAGGCAGCCAGTGTCCACCTCTGAGCCTGGCTCCCCATCCCCACCCACCCGTGCACCCTTCACACCATACGAAATGTTCTGAGACATTATTGCATACCATGAGGACATTATCGGGGACCTAATTTAGCTCTGACCTCCAGTTTTAAAAATTCGATTCCGTAATCTAAGGTTGATGAAGACAGATTATAGAGCATACATTGTCAGTTTCAAAGGCAAATAGATCTCAGACACAACGTGTTTTGGCGATCTTGTTTTTTGGAATATAAAGGCCTGAGCTGCGGTGTGCAGCCTGCCCTGCGCTCTGTACCTGATGACCGTCCGCTGCGGGTCTCCTTCCGGGCGGGGGCCCACAGGGACTTCTTCCCTTTTCACGGCCTCCTCCTGGGTCCCATCCTTCAGGTCTTGGCTGGGGGGTCTAATCTGCAGGTGAGGTGGTCCCCGCTGGACGCGTCTTTGTGATTTCTGTAGAGAAATCAGTCACACAGGAAATTATGGGGCGCCTGCGAGCTGCCCTTCTTTCCCTCTACGGGACGCCCTCAGGTGCAGCCCACACCTCACTGACTGAGCTTCCACCTCACCTCAGACTAAATTACTTTCGTTTTTCTTTTTTTTTTGAGACGGAGTCTGGCTCTGTCGCCCGGGCTGGAGTGCAGTGGCCGGATCTCAGCTCACTGCAAGCTCCGCCTCCCGGGTTTACGCCATTCTCCTGCCTCAGCCTCCAGAGTAGCTG